GTAAGGGATAACCCTACCTACAGTTTTACAAAGAGGGTGCTTAGCTGCATGGCAGACTGATTTAGCCACAGCCACCCAGGAATTCTGTGGCCATACCACATATCCCACGCTTTGGGCCAACGCACTGCACACCAGTCCCCCCAAGCACATCTACTTCAGACACTGTCCAAAAAAATGGGCACCAGTCAGCAGTGACAGTCAGCCATGGAAATCCAATACTCCCCCAAAATGTGGGCCCATTTCTGAGGAAGGGAAGACTCTTTTTGAGCTTATTACAGCAGCTCAATGCTACAGCATCCACAGACAAGATAGCAGGGAATGTTGTTAAGTGTCAGAAAAGGGATCTTTATTGTTAAAGATCAACCTTGATTTGAAAACTTGGAGGGCCTGGAATGAGACTCGCAACACTCCTGGCATTTCCAGCCTGCCCCGGACCTCCAAAGGCAGAGACGACGACCAAAGAGACCACAGGGCTGTTTGCCAAAACAATGACATCAGATTTGCAGTTGGACAAGTGAAGAAACACAGAGAAAACACAGCATGCTTTGCCATGTAAAGCTATCTTGTATCAGCTCCAATAAAAATATCAGCCAACAACAAAACCAATTCTAAATGAATTGGTCATTAAATGTATCAGCTCAGTGTGGGCTGTGCCAGTAGCTTTCACACAGAAACAAATGATGCCTATGAATCACCAAATTCTCTCCCCTGCATGAAATGTTTTGTAATTTTCCACAGATCATGTGTGGTGCATCACAGGTGTAACTAATCCAAAGTCTCTGTAAGGTGAAAGGCAGCTTTCACTACTCTAGAACAGTGACAAGCAGAGAAAGGATTTATTAAGAGACTCTCCTTTCTGAAGAATGACGTGAGAAACTGTAGAGGCAGGGACGGGGGTATGGCTGCATGCTACACTGGGGAAGGGATAAGAGTAATGAAGGTAGGGAATGCAAGAGATAAAAGAACTGCTGGGGAAACTGGAACACAGCCAGGTCTGGGAAGGAAACAAGGGCTCGCCTACAGCAATGTCCAACATCACACCCATGGCCTCTAAGAGCTTTAAGACTGCAATACTTATCACACCCTCATTTGATGAATCCATACAGAGGAAAATCCAGGCAGATGTAGCCATTCCAAAAGAAAAGTCCTATTTTACCAGGTTAGCTGATGTTATCAAGGAATGAAAGGACATTTCCATGCCAGTTGTAGGAGAAAGATGACTTCCATGAGGACATGTGCTGCTTCTACTGCTCTGTGCTTATGCTGGCTTAAGTCTTCTAGCAGTGACAAGCTAGCAGTGACAAGTGACTGGTGCATCTCTGTGTGCCAAGTGGCAAATGCAAACAGAAGAAGAGAAGCAAAGGGGAAAACCCCAAGGTATACTGGCTGCATGGTACCACGTTAACTTACCAGCTGAGGTCTCCTCACCTCAGCCTCTCCTCCATCACCCCCACTACAGCATTCTAACCTCGTCCGAGGGCCAGCACTGAGCCAAACAGGAACTCGAGCTCGAGCAAGCAAAACTTCTCTCTTCTCTTGAGCCTTTATGCACATTCCAGCTTTTAATCACAAAACACTGTTTTCTCCCTTCTTCTTCCATTCATTTCTACGTCTCTAACTCGTCTGCACCCTTAGGTCTTCCTTTACTAAAGCTGCACTGTGTTAGTGCTTGAGGGAAAGCACTTTTTTATCTTGCTTTCACCCCTCAAAACCAGGCATAAAATCGTTTAGAAACCAGAAGGAGGACAGTATTTGAAAACATGGAAATCTTTTCATGTTTAAATTCAGCCACTGGAGAAAAACACTGAGGAAGAAAAGTGGAACAAGAGACATTCCTCTTCTCCCATTCCCTGAATCCAATGGCTCAGTAAGGAGGATGAAGGGATGAAGGAATGAAGGTGATCAGAGTAGACAAGATATATGGAGTTGCTCTGTCAGGATGCTCAGCACAGAAGGCTGCAAAAGCATCTGCCAAGAGCATAACACATTTCAGAGAGATTTACTTTGTAATTAACAGCTTAAAGCCAAGGAAAAGGGCATGCCTAATCCTAGGTCTAAACCCAGTTTCAAATTACAGCAAGACTTGAAAGCTGCTGAAATACCTGACCTAAGAAGCTTCTAGACACCTTTTACTAAGAGAACTCTTCTTAACTTGGCTGTTCCACAAAAAATAATGGAAAAGAACTTTAGATGTCTAAAGCAAAGGGCTCAAAATATATGAACTGAGACAGCTGGGGCTGTGTGCCTAACTTTGTCAGACTGCTCATGCACCTTAGCATAGAGTTTTTAATCACCTACTCACATGATGTTTCACACAAGGTGTTTCTCATTCCCAGTGGCTGAGCTCCGATTCAAAGTTTTGTTTTATTCTCTTTGCCCAGCACTGAGTCACATGCTCAGACCCAGGGCTCAGTCTGAGAACTGACTTTGTAACCAGCTTTTCAAGGTGCTCGCTATTGTGACAATGAAGTGTTTTCACAATGCTGCAGGGGAGTGGCCCATTTCCCTCACCAACAGAACGAAGGCCACGAGATTTACTGAGGCCAAGAGATTAAAGCCAAAAGGCCAGCGAATTACAAACTCTCCTCTTGAAATGTGCAAAAATGCTTCATAGCATGACTTTTCAGATTGATCTGTTCAAGGCAGACTCCAGCTGCAGCTATGAGCATTCTGCACATCTGCTCCTCTGGCTAAAAATTTCCACTCATAATCTGAGGGAAGCACAATCCAAGCAAGGAAAACCTGAATGAAGTGGGACTCACAACATAAAAAACCCCACCAAACTCACTTTGTCAGAGTGATATTCAGTTGCTTCAAACAGGAGGCCACCTTTCTTCTTCCTAAATTTTCACTTAATTCCTTACACACCTTCCTTTATTCAAAGATATGAAGAGGTCCTACAAGTAACTGCCCTCTTTCACCACACATTCCTCATTCATTCCCTGAGCAGATCCAGACAGAAAACCACAGGAAAGAGAATCTCTGTGGGAAGAAAGAAGACATTCAACTGAAAACTGTGTCTGCAAGAGCACTATGCTATTAAAGAATCCTGTTCCAAGACACAGATGTAAATTAAGAATTAGACACTTTTTATAAGAGATGACCAAAAGTTCTGGACTTTTTATTTCTATCAAATTTCAGGAAGTTTTAGGATATTGGTGAACTACTTTAAAATGGAAATGAATGTTTTTAAAAAAACACTGAAATAATGTGGGAAAAGAAAGGGGAGCAGCAAGTAGGAAACGGAATGCTGTCAATCAGCATGGAGAAGAACACTCGTGTCTAAAATACTGCATGCATTCTCCCAGAGTCAGGAGTCAGGCAGAAGGCCAGGAGAGGAGAGGAGAGCAGGCTTAGAGAGCAGCAATATGGGCAATCAGAGATACAAGCTGTTACCCATCAGCAGCCCAGCTCACTGAAGGCTGTGGTGGGTGCTCTGTGATGCCAAGTATCACAGGACATCCATGCTTTCCTGAAAGAAATCTAGAATAAGCACAGCAAGTGTCTCATGAGCAGCTAATGACAGCAAGTGCAGCAATATGGGCAATCAGAGATACAAGCTGTTACCCATCAGCAGCCCAGCTCACTGAAGGCTGTGGTGGGTGCTCTGTGATGCCAAGTATCACAGGACATCCACGCTTTCCTGAAAGAAATTAGAATAAGCACAGCAAGTGCCTCGTGAGCAGCTAATGACAGCAAGTAATGTTGCACCAGACAAAACTGAAAAGGCCTTAGACACCTAAGGGTAAGCAAAAAAAGGCTAAAGCATCACTGCAAGGAATGTTTTGTTCTTCCTAAAATCTTTGTAACCAGATGGTTTTAAGGACTTTTAGATTGTGCCCATCACTTTCATTATTTTTTTAAGCGAGACACCTCAACAAGAACAGTGACTCTCCTGTATTAATATCCACCTTCACCAGGACAAGAACCTCTAATCCAGCTGCAGGACCACAACTCTCAGCTGAGAGAGAAGACTTTGGCGTTTCCTCTGCATGCCTGTACAAGAGAGGAAGAGGAGTTCCCAGGCTGGCTGATTTCAGTTGACTCTGATGACATGGTCCAGAGCTGTTTGACTTTGGCAGGAGCATTCTCCAGCCACCAACCTTCCCTTCTCTCCAGCTGTGTAGCCACAGTACCTCTCCACCTCAGCGCTGCATCCTGCAGTTTCTGCTCACCAGCTGCACATCCCAGGCTTTTGCTCCCCTATCTCTGCTCTGCAGCTCTTACCCAAAATACACCTCTGGCCTCCCAGCAGGAAAACCCTGCATCCCCCCTGTGCACTTATTCCTTGTCCACCTGCTTCTTTCTCCTCTCTCCCAGCTGAGGAGCCTCAGTCAGCGCAGCCTCCTGCAAGGGAGTGAGAACTGCACAAGAACACCAATCTGCGCTCCTCTCCAACCTGCCTCCTCATTCAACTCTTCTTCCTGGCTTTTGCCTCCTTCCTTGCACCTCACAGATCCCAGCCTGTTCAACTGCAGCTTCTTTTCAGCTTTCACTGAAATTTATTAGGGCTCTTGAACATTCTTAGAGACATTTCCTTTCCTAAAGACAAAAGGAGCACCGAAGACGCAAGGAACGAGACACCCTGTGTCCCTACCAGCACCCTGTCATTTCTGTGCTGGAAGAAACCCAGTGTAGCAGGGCAGCTGAAGAGCCAAACTCCATTTTTTCCCCATGCATATGCAAGCAGACAGGGAGAGATTTAACTGGCCGGGTGCAGTGAAGCAGAAGACACATTACCAGAACCACCCCGCTTTAAAGACAAAAGACACCATCCCGTGAACATCCTCCCCTGTCTCTAGTGCCCACACCAGACCAGCAGGAAAACGTGAGAACAGCATTCCTCAAAGAACAGGTTATTCATTCTTAACTCATTAGCCCACTCATTGACAAACACCTCCTCCGAGGGATCTGCTCGGCTATTTTAAGAACGCCTAGTGGGTAAACATGCACTGAAAGTCTCATCCCCAAAGGGCAGAGTTTTACCAAGTTTTAAGCACCTTAAGGCACGACGGTAAAATAAGAGGTATCACAGGAGGGCTCTGATAATCCTGCCAACTCCATTAGCATTTACAGAGCTCCTCTTCGGCCAGAAAAGCAGGGCTGCATTTGTAAACTGACAGCGTGGAAGGCTACCATAACTACCGCCCCACAGATCCAACAGTTATCTGCGGCTCGGCGTCTGTCCCGGGAAACCACAGCCAACCGAGCTCCCGCTCCCGAGCGGCGGCTGGAGCTGCACCGGGCTCCTCTCTCGTGGGACAAACCAGCCGCGGGGCCCCGCTCTCAGGGCTCCCGCGGCACCTGCAGCCGAGCCTTGCCCCACGGACGGGGCCTCTCCGCACGGCCCGGGGAGCGGGCGCCCGCCAGCCGGGCCGGGCTGCGCCCGAGGGGCGGGGAGAGCCCGCGGGCGCCCCGGGCAGCGCTCGGCCCCCGCGGGGCCCCGCCCCTCGGCCCGTCCGTGTCCCCCGGGCCGGCTCAGCCGCGGCCTCGGCCCCGCCCCGGCGGCTCTTACTGTCCAGGTAGTGCTCCAGGTACATCCCCGCCGCCATCTTGGCCCCACACACCGCCGCTTCCGGCGGGAGGCGGGCGCGCGCGGCCCCCGGAAGCGGCGCTGCCCGGCGGCGAAGCCGCTTCCGCCCGCCTGCCCCGGCACTTCCGCCCCGCTCCCGCCGCCATTTCGGGCTCAGCGGAGCAGCCCCGGGCGGTCCCTGCGGAGCGCAGCGAGGGTGACCGGGGCACTGCGACATCGCTCCTGCGGGGAAAGGCTGAGGGAGCTGGGCCTCTGCAGCCCTGGAGGCTCAGACGACTGAGAGGGGACCCCATCCATGTCTATGAGCATCTGAAAGGAGAATGTGACTCTCCTCGGTGGTGCCAGGCCCTAGGGCAGAAACTGATGCTCAGGAAGTTCCACCTGAACATGAGGAGTAACTTCATGTGCGGGGGACTGAGCACTGGGACAGGTTGCCCAGAGAGGTTGTGGAGTCTCCCTCGCTGGAGACTCCAGGACCATCTGGAGGCAATCGTGTGCTCAGGAAGGAGCCCGCTGGAGCAGGGGGTCGGAGCAGTGGCACACCGCGCTCCCTTCCAGCCCGGCCCGCTCTGCGCTCTGGGCAGGACGTGCTGGGCACGGGTTACCGTGGCTTCCCATTCGCCCCGTAAGCCGCCAGTCCTGGGCGGACATGGAGGGTCTCTGCTGTGCGGGACGGGTGTGAGGAAACTCTTCCAACAGAGTAACAAAGCAATTGAGTTCAACATGTGAGCCTGCTCGCTTTCTCTTCGTCATGCCAGGGCCACTTTTGTGACCACACACCACGAGCCACTTGAAGGTTTAGAGCCCCTCCCCAGCCGTCCTTTGCTACACGCACCGTGTGCTGCTGTGCTGTCACATGTGATTATGGAGGCACTGAGACAAAATTACCTTACTTCTGTTGATCCTTAGCTTCCAAGACATGCAGGATTGTTTTTTTTTTTCAAGAGGTCAGCACCTATTTAGCATCCTGTGCAGTTTGGGAGGCACTAGGTTTGGTAAATACTACATTTCATCCACCTTTCTCCTGCCCTACACCATCCTGTTTTATCCTGACAGTCTATGCAATGACAGCCATCGCTCAGGACTGAATGCTCCCAGATTCTGGCCACAAGGAGAAGTGATTAGATTTCTTTTTCTCTCTTTTCCTCCCAAAGATCTTCCAAGATACCATGCCTTTATCTGTATGGATATACTATGATTAATTCTTTGAGCAGCCTGCACTGCAAGACTGAGGAGCTGTTACATAAAGGAACTGCAGCTGTTTGAACTATGAACCATCTTGCTGTTAAACTACTGGGTTAATTCAGAGTCTCTGTGTTCTGACGATGGAGTTTTTCATTCCTCTTCCTACAGTCATTTAAGTTATTTATGACATATTTTTAATTATTCAAAACACATTTCTTAGTCTTTTCAGTTCCCATGTGGAGCAGCTGGCTTCAGTTAGCTGAACATTATTGTTAAGCCTCTTTAAAGTGCTTCAAAATTCTCGTATAAATTGCCTTATACTCTTAATTAAGGGGAAGGATGTGGCTGTTACATAAAAAAAAAAATCTGCTCCCTACACCATGTCACAGTCCTAAACCAGAATCTCCCAAACACATCCTGTTGGGGCTACCAAGCTGAATGGAGCTGATGTTAAAAATCAGACATTCTTAGACAGCACTAAATTGTTTAGGAGACCACCTGGGAACCCCATCTTATCCTCCAAGCCAAGGCTAGGAAGATGCCAGAAAGAAAATCTCCCTCTGGAGTTCTTGCCACTACAGATACAAACGATAGGGCAAAGAAGAGGCACTTGCCCAAAATCTAAATGGCAAATCTCAGTAAAGCATACAAATGTGTCTCTAACTGCATGAACTGCCACTGTGAATTTGCAAAATAAAGGGGAGAGGCAGTTTTGTGTGCCTGTGTGGTCTCACAGCAGTAGGAACTCTACCATTCCAGCAAAATCTAGTTCCTGAGCTCTGAGTCTTGGAAAGCTTGTTATTTTTGCTTTCTTTACAAAGTCAAAGAAAGGGTTTGCATGGCTCAGGGCTCCAGAAGCACCCTCACCCACAGAGGAAGTGTCAGCACGGCAGTTATTTGTCGAGGAGTATTTTTTAAACACTTCTGCACGCCCAAGTCCGAGCAGGGGCACAGATGGCTGTGCAGGAAGGTGCTGTCCCAGCTGGAATAAGCTCTAGAGACCCAGGCCCATTTGTCTAACCCTCGCCCAGCCTCACACACTGTAGGAACAAAGCCTCACACGCTAACCCCCGTGGCTGTCACACTCCTCCCCCTCGCCCCAGGCTGCTGCCACAGCTCCATCCTGCAGTCAATCCTGTAGGTAGCTCCTGGTCCCACAGACAACCTGCGGGATGAGCGGGGCTGCCCAGGCCTCGGCACCTCCGCAGGGAAGCTGCACGGCCTACGGAAGCAGTCTGCAGGAGTTGTTCTCAACCTTTATTGATCTGCAGATGCCTATGTGTTTTCCCTTGGAAATGTAAACATCTGCATCCCAAATTCAAGCCTCCGGATTTTAGTTACCTTCTAGACTTCTTAAATGTTGTCCAAGGACTGTGAGGAAAAGGCCAGTGCTTGAGAGGGATCCTCATGCAGACCCCAGCAGGACAGCTGTAACTTCCGACCCTTGTTCAGTTACCTTTTTGTTGCTGAGGTTCAGCTCTTCTCACTCTTTAACATTCTCAGTTAAGAGGTCCCTGAACTTTCAATTTCCTGTCTTCAGGAAACACCAGAGGTACCCACACTTTGTTCTCACAAACGGCAAATGATTGATCTGCAGCACTTGGCCCCGAGGGGGTTAATTAACTTTACAAACGAAAGAGGATGCCAAAGGCCACAAATTATAACTGTGTCCATGTTTCAAAAACATACCTACTTCAGTAGCAAAACTAGGCGTAGACTCTAGTTCTTTGGTGTCACGATTTCTTTTCTTGCAGTTTTTTTTCCATTCATTACACAGACACTACATGAAATCGAAATGTTTGTTGGACCAAGTTACTACATCTCTCTAGTACTTTGGTGTTCTACTATACAGAAACAAGAAACCATGCACACAAATTTAATCTGTTGTACCTGAAAGGACGATTGAACAGGTACCTATCTTGTAGTTAAGGAAGTGTACAGAGCAATTTCATTCTGTGTTCTGAAACTGCACTAGTAAACTTGGGCAGCTTTCAGGTACATTACCTGCAAAATATCAGAAGAAAATCCTAAACATGATATATATCCTTTAGTTGATATAAAGATGATAAAATAATCAATAAAAATATAGAAGACAGACAGAATCTCATAATTATATTCTATATTAGGAAGAAAGTTGGATGATGTAGACACATCCATGAGGTAATGAAATATTACCTATTGCCAATGAGATTTAGGAAGATGTTTAGTTCTACCCATTAAATAAAACATCCTAGAAGTTGCATAGCTAGAAACTGACAATCAGTAATTTGAAAAGAATTATCTGGCAAGCAGATGGAAGCAATGGGCTTTCTTTTCCAAACAACTTTGAAGTTCTGAATGTGTTCCAGACCAGCCAATACTTTTCCTTAAGATGTATCTGCAAAGCAAGTAGGCTCATCCAGGTTGTTGTAAGGCAGTTAACCTAACACTGATGTGACAAAATCACAGTGGCATTGACAGGGGCCGCACTCAGCTAAGGAAAGGAACTTATTGTTGTTTGTTTTAATTTGAAGGAAAAGTCCTAATTAAAAGAACTGGATATCCTTGCATGGCAGGTTAAGTTTGGTGGCTCAAGATAGCCATCTAGGACTAATGTAGCAAGACTTTAGCTGAACACTGCACAGCTGGGTTGCTGAAAGGGAAAAGAAAGGCCACAGATAAGAACTACATGATGGAGCCAAGCCTTATCGTGAAACACCTCAACCAGCTCAATTTAATTCAGCTGTTTGGAAAGATGAATACAGTGACTTGATCATGGTCTGTAATTCATTACACAAGAAGAAAGACTTCTTATAGCAGAAGACTTTAATGTACTCAACAAAGGCATAGCCAAGACCCTATGGATTAGAATAAAAAAAAGTAGCAATATAGAGTGGCAGTTTCAATGGCAGTGATAGCTAACAAAAAAACTGTAATAAGGGACATGGTTGATTAACCATAAGGCTTTAAATTATAAAAGTCTTAAATCTTTCTTGAAGATTTAACTGAATTATAGACCAGCAATACTATCATTAGTCATGGCTGAGATTCTGTTACTGTTTGTGGGTGACTTTTCTAAATGATTTCCAGCCTACATGATGTTTCCTTTTAAAGCAATGATAATTTGTAAAATCCAGCTAAGAGCAGAAAATCAGCTTGGAAAAGGACAAGAAGAAAAAGTGCTATTACCTTTCAGCAAAGATACAAGATTCAACCTAATACAGAACTCCAGAGTCATTTTCAAGTCTTCTTGGGTACAAACATACAGAAACAAATGGATTGGCAGCACAATGAAAATGCAGGGTGAAAGAATTAATGGAGCTGAAGAAGGACCATGAGATCTTGTTAAGCGAATATTCCACTCTTGTCAGTGGGAGGTAAATAATTAAACTGTTGTTGGCTTGAGTGCACAAAGCTGCAGACTGCAGAACCTCAGGCTTCATCTAAAGAGGGAAGAATTTTGTACAAGTTGATACATTTTGTGTCTTGCAGGTAGCTACAGCACTTTTTAAACCATCTGGAGCACTATGAATATGTGAAACAACCATGGGAATCCAAAGAGGAAGACCTAATCCAAACTCAAATAAGTGGCAGAGATAATGAGGGCAAGGTATCTTCAATTATTTCCACATCAGCAACAGGACTGGGTAAACAGAGAAATTCTCATTGATAAGAAAAAAAAGGAGGCCCGGAATAAAGTGGCATTTCTGAAGCTCAAT